TGAATACTATGCATGGTGCAACATGAAAACACGCTATGTTTATGAAATCATGAGCAATTTTTCTCGTTTTGGTGATTGGATTTGTTCCCGTGAGGTAATCAGTTTCGATCAGGACAGTTTGGTATTGTAGAGTAATTTTGACATTTCTAGACCTCTTTGGCTCCGTAGGCTTTTTAAGAGCTTTGAAGTCATTTAGGAATTTATTGTTTATCTTTGAGGTTTTCTGGTCATAAGCAATTCAATCAAGGCAGGTCCTTTTGGTTGCCGGGTCTATTTCGAAGGTTATTTAACAGATTTATCAGTTCTAAGGGATGTCAGCATTTCATCAGGTCTCAGAATATTGAATGTTTTATTCTAAATGCTGCTTGAATTTCTTGGAAAATAGATCTGGTATTTGCTTGAAATTTTCTCCATAAATGTTTCGAAATTCTCTGAATAACACTATTTCCTTCAGGATACTTTTCATGCCTAAATTCGTTTAAATTTATCTTCATAATGAGCTTAAAAATTCCCTTGAAATATTCCACAGAATTGTAATGAAAATTTCCTTGGAGATCCCCACAGCATTCCCAAAGTATCCTCTAAATTATTCATATGAAAGTTAGAAGATACTGAGAGATAAGCACATATCGTCGGTAAGAGACGTGTGTGAGAAAATTTGCGATAAAACCGAAGGGAACCTAAGAGATTCGAACCCACAATTCCCATTCAGTACACGGGTGCATTTCCAATTATACAACGGTGGACCTATGTTCTTCGGATGTATTTGGCTGTATTTCGAATCCGTTTCCCTCCTTAGTATTTTTGTGCAAGCGTTCTCTAATACACAACAATCGTCTATTTATTATCGACGATATTTGTTTGTACCGCATCCACTCAGTATCAGTCGACGTAAACAAACACAGCTCGTTTGTGGTCTACATCACACATTTTGAATTAGGGTTGTCCAATGCAGTATGAATAGAGCAGTGAACTGCCGTCCTCACCGCCGACCACCAGGCCGTAGTAAGAAAGTATAGTATTTGATGATATGTGCTTACCTCTCAGTATCTTCTAACTTTCTCATGAACAATTAAAATTGACTGCAAAGTAGCTAATCGTACGTATCCTCTAAATATTTTCTAACAATACTTCAGAATTTTGATAGAATTATCAGAAATTCTTTTGAAATTCTTAGCAAAAATTTCCTTGAGATTCTCCTTGAAATGTATTTGGAATTATCTTCAAAATTATTTCAAACACTATTGGAATTATTCTGAGAATACGATTGCATAGAACCTCTCTTCAGAATCGTTGAAGTAACACTGATAATTCGTTTAGCAATATTCTCAGAATTCCCTTTGAATTCTTTTAAAAATTTCGTTAAAATCCTCCTAAGTTCCATTCTAAGTTCCATTCTAAGTTCCTCAAATTCCATAAGAATCAGTATGAATTCTTTCAAACACAAATCCTTTGTAATTTACCAACGAATAAGTTAGCTGGTGAAAAGCTAATAAACTTGAGTATAGCTGCATAAGCATTGTCTGTACAAGCTGTTTTACAGTTAAATTTTTTCTACTGGGTGCCTACAGCAATACACACTTAGTTTTTTTTTCTACCAAGCTCGGTTGTGCAAATCTCGGCAAAAATAAGTTTCACTGAGATCTCAGCAAAAGTGACATTTGATTGCTGAGTCTCGGATAATGCTTAGCTGAATCTCAGCAAACAAATGAAATGTTTGCTGAGATCTCAGTAAAACTTTTTCTGCCGAGATTTGAACAGCCGAGCTCGGTAGAAAAAACTAAGTGAGTAGCTTAAAATTATTGAAAGGTTTTAAGCTACGCCGACAGTTTAGGTTTCCAGTTTTCTGTTTAGATACAGTGCTTTTTTATACTAGCGACATATATTGTTGAAATCATGCATGTAGGTATTCCATTTTTTAATTTAACCGGGAAAAGTACGGTATTTCAAATCTATGAATCGAGTGGCACCCCGGCGATATTCAAGGGCCTATCGACTTAGGGAGGTGACAATTTAGGGGCTGTTCATAAACTACGTAGACAATTTTTTGGGATTGTTTACCCCCCCCCCCCCTAAACTGTCTACGTAGTTTATCAACAGCTCCTTATAGAATATAAAAAAAAATTCCCGAACATAATCAAATAATATTGTAGCATATTTAGCTATTATTTTGAACTCGGAGATTGGAAACATATTCAAGCATTTGTCAAGTAGATGTTTTTTTATTCATAAAAATCTCTACTAGATCACATGGAAGCTAAACTTAGAACCTCAATGATCATTTTTCCTGTAAGGCTTTATCTTAAATCATCGGAATTGTATTTTATATAATATCGACTTAGGGAGGTTAAAATGCATGGAAAAATTAATCAAAACACATCGAGTCAAAAATTCTGTGGGCCTCTACTGTTTACATCTCATTAGAGTTAAGGAGGTATGCAGTTACAGAAATATCGAGTTAGGAAGAGCTTTGCTTATAAAATTGAAGGGCTTTTGAATTTCATCGAGTTAGGGAAAATATCGAGATATAGAATATCGAATAAGAGATAGTTGACTGTATCGTAAGAGCTGTTTGGTTAATACAATTCTGGTAACTGTAGGGAAACACCAGTGTCTAAGAAATTCTAAGGTAGTGGGAAAAATATAAGAAAATTCCACTTACTCTGGAAGAATAAAAAAAAAAACTATGTCTCGATAACTTTTTCAAAGGGACGTATCAGCTTTTGTAAACAACATGCTTGACATGCACAGTTGTACACAAGAACTGCTCATTTGTTAATAACTTTTCACTCAGTTATTGAAAATTGAATTTCTTTAAAGTAATTGATAGATTAGGATCATAGCTTACTATAGATATGCAAAGTGTAGGTAAACCTTAACATTTGAATCAACACCAATGAATTTTTACACTTAAAGTCCGAGATGTGCAGCGAGCATTTCTCACTTAATTTTTTAAACGCAAAAACAAATACAGTTTATTACTAGAATTTAAATCTACTTTTTCTTACCTACATATTACAAACTTAAACATTATTCTATCTACTGCTTCAAACAGAACTATGTTATGCCAACTGTGTGCAAAGTTATTAGCAAATGAGCAGTTCGTGACCAAAATTGTGTTTGCCAAGCATGGTAAACAACGCATTTGATCGTCGATTTGGCGTAACTGGTAGCTCGCCCACGCATGTTTACACTACAATCAGATAGAGGAAATTTTCCCCTACCTGCTAGTGGTGTTAGTAAGAGAGTCAGAGCTACCAGTTACGCCAAATCGACGATCGAATGCATTGTTTACAAAAGCTGATACTTCTTCTTCTTCTTCTTCCTCGCATTTCAAGCTTATTGCATATCGCATATTAGCTTATTGCGTGCTCTCAACTTAGTGTTCTAGATGCACTTCCACAGTTATTAATTGAGAGCTTTCGATGCCTGTACCATTTTTGCATTAGTATAATTGTGTAGCAAGTACAATCATACTTTATGCCCCAGGGAAGTTGAGAAATTTTCCAACTCGAATGATTTCTAGACTGGACCGGGAATCGAACCCAGCCCCCTCCAGCATGGTCTTGCTTTGTAGCTGCGCCTTTACCGACTGAGCTAAGGGAGGCCCCAAAAGCTGATACGTCCCTTTGAAAAAGTTATCGAGATATGAAGAGGTGTTTGGCTCTATTTTGATAGACCTTCCGGAGCGAAACCCGCCCTAGAATGCCACAATCTTTTCTAAAATGGTATTGTTTGTGTTTTCGTATGCTTCGAAGTGGGACTCAAGTCACATAATGGTTCTCTGAAAGATACAGAATAATCGTAAAAGAGATTACTCTTTGTCGTTCAAATTCCCAAGTTTTGTTAAACTCTGAAATTTGTCATATTTTCAAACATAAATATTCAAAGGAACTTTAAGTTTGATAAATTTGCAAAGATCCCGAAATTCGTTTTAAATCCTGGACTTTAAATGTTACCAATATCCTAGGGCTTGAAACTTCCTGATAATTTTATCTTTCTAAATGTATTGCAAGGTCTAAGTCACAACCATACCTGCGCTTTGAATTGCTCCAGGATTGAATTTGGTCTAAAAAGCGGTTTTTTTTTACAAGAACTCAGTCTTGGCGAAAGGCTAGAATGGTGAGAACAAAAAGTTCACTTTTCCCATAGTAATTCCCATATAAACTTCTAAGTGCAGTATGACTTCACATCCAAATAAACTCAAAGACCTAGTTGAAGATGCTAATGGTAGGGGTAAACAATAGTTGCAATTTCCAAACCTACGACTGGATGCCTTCCTTCAAATAACAACGGAAGTGCGGTAAAAAATCGGTAGAACTGTTTCAAACACACAGTTGGTACTTGAGCGGGTCGGTTTTCATCTCTTTGCCAGTGGTGGCGGGGGGGGGGGTACCCCTCACCATCCCATCCCCAAAGGGGGAGTTTGGTAAAGAGAGATGAAAAAACCGATTTGTACCTTCCTTAAAAGTTGTCCTAGCTCGCTTTTCTAATATCTATACACAAGCTTCACACTGCCGTACTCTAACGGAACTATCAACTCTATGCTTTCATCTACTCCATCTATCGTATAAAAAAATTACCACTACAGTCTGTTATTTGAAATTAGCATCTTCAACTATGTAAATCGTTGACTTCACGTAGAAGTAATACTAAAAACATATAGTCAAAGCTCAAAGACCTGCTTTAGAACCGATTGAGCTTGGTGAAGTAAAATCGATATTTTGAACCACCCTAATAAATAGTCATACATTAGGAATCAGCCGAATCACTTTCGTCGTTGAAATTAAAATTGCTGTGATGACTATATTTACCCTTCTGTATGACTGATTATTATCTTAGATAGAAAACTGGGTAGTTAAAGTTAATTCATTCTTATTTTGTGGGATTATACCGAAATTATTTTATCATTCACCTGCATTTCTTAATTTCTCAGAATCTTTTGCAAACAACGGTAATAATACCTATCTTGAAACACACAACAATCAAATCAAGCTTACCTTCAGTTTCTTCGGATTCATGACGTCCATGGTGTCCCACTCGTAGGTTTTCTTGTTGAGACTGAAGCAGTAAAATAAGCACAAAACGAATTAGAATTCGATAACGAAATTGCTTCTTGAATCATTCTTATGGCTATACTAGGCCAGTGGCAATGTGTTCCACATCTACCCACCTGACATCTGGACGAGTTAGCGCGGCGTACGTACTGTAGCCAACGACACCTGCCATGGTACAACCAATGATGACGACCAGTGGGAGAACCTGTAAATGAAAAAAAAAATATGAAAAATTACACCCAACCGTAACACTATGATTGTAGAAGAACTTTAGTCAAATCGTATATCTAATTTTCGCTTTCGTTTGTCTCGTTTTTCTTCTTTTTGCAGTGCTGGAACCTTGGACACAACCGGATTACTTGAGCATGACCTACACAACGCACTGGTGCCAATCAAAACAGCAAACCTTCTCACACCACAGGCAGCTGCCGCGGCCGTCGTTGTCCAACAGAACAGGTATGTATCGCTTTCGATGCTCCCCTCTTCGTTTCCTAATTTCTTTATTTAAATATCGCTTTGAACAAAAACAATAAATCATTGCATTTCATACGCACACAGAGATCAACAACAACAACAGCAACAGCAACAGCAGCAGCAACAGCAACTTCAGCTCCAGCAGCAGCAACAGCAGCAACAACAGCAACAGGTGCAGCAGCAGCAACAGCAGCAGCAAGAACAGCTACTTCAGTCAAATTGCCAACTCTCGCTCGTCAGTAATGCTGCCACCAACACCTCCAAAGCCGGTTCAACCAATGGTAGCTCGTCGGGGCGGTCAACGCCAAACAGCAGCAGCGATCCAGCGCCAGGAAAGCTATTCGTCGGCGGACTCAGTTGGCAAACGTCGTCCGAGAAGCTCAGCGAGTACTTTGGAATGTTCGGTAAAGTGACAGATGTGCTGATCATGAAGGATCCAATTACTCAGGTAAGAACGGTGCAACGGTAATTTGTGATGGATCAAGTTCTATGAAAGCTTAATTTTTACAGCGGAGTCGGGGATTCGGATTCATCACGTTCCAGGAACCAAACAGCGTAGACAAAGTTCTCAAAGTGCCAATTCACACTTTGGATGGAAAGAAAATCGATCCCAAGCACGCGACACCCAAGAACCGACCGAAGACCCAATCGAACAAGACGAAGAAGATCTTCGTGGGAGGCGTTTCGCAGGACACATCGGCCGAAGAGGTCAAGCAGTACTTCAGCCAGTTTGGCAAGGTCGAAGAAACGGTCATGCTGATGGATCAGCAGACGAAGCGCCACCGTGGGTTCGGCTTCGTTACGTTCGAAAACGAGGACGTGGTAGATCGAGTGTGCGAGATTCATTTCCACACGATCAAGAACAAGAAGGTCGAATGCAAGAAGGCTCAACCGAAGGAAGCCGTGACGCCCACTGCCCAGCAGCTGCTACAGAAGAGAATCATTCTGGGAAACTTGGGACTGCCGATTGCCACACCAACCACGGCACGGATGGTCGGAGCGGCACATGCTCAATCCGCACCGTTGGTCAGCCAGCTGGCGAATCCGCTGATGGTACAGGCTCAGGCACAGGCTGCCCAGGCCGCTGCGGCCGCCGCTGCCATGCAGGTGCAAAATGGCTTCGGAAAGATGTTCACCACCTATCCACCGACGCTGCACAGTTTCAGGTGAGTTTGATTTGTGGGAACCCAGATATGACTCTATATGGAATTAGCTTTATGGATGTGCAGTTGGAACTGTTCTAGATCACTCGGGTGTTATTTTCGAGTTCACTTGGTTGATCTTTTGGAAATTTGGGTAAATCATCAAAATTGGCTACCAAATTGCATTCCTATGTTTTTTTTATTTAGTTGCGCGGTAATTTTGATCTGTGCGCTTTGAGAAACTGATTTATAGTACGTGTTAAAATTGAGAGATGAGCGGAGTGAATGTTTTGAGCCAAATGAACTGTCAAAATCTGATTTTTTAGCCACTTCTGGGCTGTAAACTATCATAACTTAACAATGTCCAGAAAATGTTGCGTCAAATTCCAAAACTAAGAGTCCACATAGAAAAACAATCTTCAACTGCGTTTTTCGCAGCTTGCTTTTTTAACGAATGGGAAAATTACGTTGAAAAATACAGTAAATTCAAAGAGGATAACTTTTTGAACATTTGGGAACATTTTAGAGTTTTGGGCCTATTTGTGAATTACATTGCACTCAGTTTATCAAACCTGGTTTGCTTTAAGTAGTCAATATAATAGATAATAGTAAGTAGATTTCCATCTAGGCGTTCACATTTTTGCGTTACATAATCGAAGTGAATCAGAGTCACGTAAAAATGACATAAGTGTTTCACGTTGGTCATTGATATAAGATTTTGTGAGAACTAAATTCGAGGAAAGTTAGCACCACTTTGTTTGAAGTTCCTTTTTGATCATTTATTGCGTTAACATCTAATTTCTGTGAACCAAATAGCGGAGAATTTTGAGAATTAACAAGCGTCCTGTATAAGTGCAGTCAGACACAGCAAGAAGTTTTTCAGTTAGGGATGTTCAAAATCAGATTTTTAGTTATTACTCATATTCTCGTTTAAGTTTAACTCGCGAACGAGATGAAGCCTGTTTAAGCCTCATGAATCTCGCTAGGAATTCTTCTTCAGTCTCTCGGAATTTCTGCAGGCATAGAATTCTTTCGAACTTGTTCATCAGAAACGTACAACACCTAATTTCTACCGTAATTTCTCGTGCAGTCAGATTTTGTGGCACATTACAAGGGATTTAGGGATGTCCATAGAGATTTAGGGGTTACAGTTTTGATTGCATCATATGTATGGGTTTACAAATCTAATTGAACGCGTGAAATGTTAAGTCCAGAGCTGGTAAATGTCACGGCCGTCATTTGACAATGAGAAAACAGGTCCTCTCAATATCACGAGACGAAACTACCTATCATTAGCTTTCTTGTCATTGTCCAATGATCAAGCACTCATGAGAATAATTCTTATGCGGTTTTGACATCAACATTTCTAACTGATTTAGATGAATTTAAGCAAGCAACTGTATGTAATCGGTAAAGTGAATACATTATTAAGATTTCCTCAGTACAAGTAACTTCAATAGCAATAAATGAGCTTGTAATTACGATTATCTTAACACTGTCACGTTCTGTCATGACAAAAAATTCGATGAGATTTTGAAGAAAATCTCTATCATCGTTTTCTCATCCGATGATAGTGACAGAAGTATCTCTGTAAATATCGCGTGAGATCTCTCTATGAGGCTTTCACGTGAATTCGGCTACTGGTTAGCAGCACCTTTTCAGATACCAATGAATCTTTGTGAGTGTAAAAGCTTTGTCCAGTAAATTAATTAACATAATCGTTTTTCTAAAAAAATCTAGGCTACCATTTGAAAAGAGGTGATCTTTGTTTCAATTTTTGTTTCTAATCATTACTGGAAAATGATGAGACATACAAAAATTTGATCAATAAGTGAGTTGAAGAAAATTTTCAAAATCTTCACAAAAAATCAAACATAAAAATTGCATTCATACACTGAAAAAATATATTTCAAAATAAAAACTAAGCACAAAAAGGCTACACGTCTTTCATACAATATGGGTGGCAATAGGGCTGAAATAAAAAAAAACACCTCTAACATTCCAACGATACGTTGTAAGCGTATTAAGGTTCAATTTACTTTGAAGCTTTTTGGAAAATTTCAAAAGCAGTTTTTTTCCGACGCATGATTTCAGATTGCAAAAAGTTCGTACTATTCGATTCCTTTCGATATTTTACACAAAATGACGCAAGATTTTTGCAATCTAAAATAATGCCTCGAAAAAAAAACTGCTTTTGAATTTTTAAAAATTGCATCAAAGTAAATTGAACCTTAAACTACTTTACATACTTGTTTTTCCCCAATAAGTTAAAATCGAGGCCACTTAAAATGTCTAATTTTTTCGATTTAATTAAAATATTTATTTTAAAAATTATACGTTCCACAAAAATTTAGTAAATAATGAAATTGTAGAAACTCGTCTAATTTTTCATAAAAACTTTTGTAAAAAACCATTTTAAAGGGTGATACGGTCAAAATTTGGTCAAGGGAAAACGCGTGTAAATCGGTGAAATCGTTTATTTAAAAAATCAAATTAAATTTCTTTTTCAAGTTCAATTAGTATAAAATTCAGGAAAAATATTCAGTTAGGCTTCCGCTTTTCCAAATCCGAATTGCCGGGCCTTACGCTTGACCCCTGCCATCAGATTTTGTACAGCCACCTTGTCCACCTTCTTCGCCGCAGAAAGCCAGTTTGCCTTGAACTGCTGCTCGCCCTTAGCAGTTTTTTTGGTCTTCTTTAGGTTCCGCTTGACAATAGCCCAGTATTTCTCAATTGGGCGGAGCTCTGACGTGTTGGGAGGGTTCTTGTCCTTGGGAACCACCTGCACGTTTTTGGCGGCGTACCACTCCATGGCCTTTTTACCGTAATGGCAAGATGCCAAATCCGGCCAAAACAGTACGGAACAACCGTGTTTCTTCAGGAAAGGCAGCAGACGTTTATTCAAACACTCTTTCACGTAAATTTCTTGGTTGACAGTCCCGAAAGCTATGAAAATGCTGCTTTTCAAGCCACAGGTACAGATGGCTTGCCAAACCAGATATTTCTTTGCGAACTTTGACAGTTTCATGTGCTTGAAAACATCTGCTACCTTTCCCCTTCCTTTTGCCGTATAAAACTCCTGTCCCGGAAGCTGCTTGTAGTCGGCTTTGACGTAGGTTTCGTCGTCCATTACCACGCAGTCAAACTTCGTCAGCATCGTCGTGTACAGCCTCCGGGATCGCGCTTTGGCCGTCGTATTTTGTTTATCATCGCGATTTGGAGTCACTACCTTCTTGTAAGTCGATAGTCCGGCTCGTTTTTTGGCTCGATGCACGGTTGTAGACGATACACCCAGCTTATTTGCGGCATCTCGGAGAGAGAGGTTAGGGTTTCGCTTGAAACTACCGGCAACTCTCTTTGTCGTCTCAGCGGCTTCTGGTTTTCGATTTCCCCCCGATCCAGACTTCCTGGCTGTCGACAAACGTTCCCCAAACACTTTAATTACATTTGTAACGGTTGATTTGGCAACTTTTAGCGATTTTGCCAACTTTGCGTGCGAGTAGCTCGGATTTTCGCGATGCGCGAGCAAAATTTTGATACGCTGCTCTTCTTGCTTGGACGGCATTTTGACAACTGAAGAGTGAATTCCAAAATCAAAATAGGAGCAACATTCTACACACACACACCTTCAAAATGAGGGGTGTTCAGGTTTTTTAAATGCAAAATTGAAAGAAATACGTCAAGTTGATATTGACCAAATTTTGACCGTATCACCCTTTATTTCTACACCGAAAAAAATAATATTTTGTAAACTAAGTGATTTTATCAATAATCACAGCTTTGATGATTATTTTTCTAGAAAGACAATTCCTACATATCCATCCACAGGTCGTCAAACGCATCAAGATGGGCACCTTTTTTAGAAAAACAAAATTCTTAAGGAGAAGTCTACCAAAATTTGTTTTTTTCTGGCTCGTTTTGATTTTTATAAATATATTGGAAATAGCTATCAAAAATCCATGAAAATCAATTTTTTCCTTAGATTTCTGAGAAAATTTTCATCATGAAAAAAGTTGAACTCCTGTTTTTTTAGATCTTCGATTTTTTTTTTTTTTTTTTTAGAATAAAAAACCAAAACACAAATTTTATTTTTGAGGCGTAAGCTTCTCTTAACAGCAGTTTTTTTTGCAATTGACTTGTACGTATCTCTCTGAATCAAGTTATAATTTTTAAAAATAAAGATTTTGAGAAATTTGGTTTTTAGTTTTTTTTTTCAGTGTAGGAATGGCCATTTTATTTTTAAACCTTTTTTTCTTACAAAAATAAAATTCTTGTCGGTCTTTTGAACTTTGCATAATTATGTGTTATGGTCAATCATTAACATTTGAAGTCAAATTCGGCCATTTTGAATCTCGCGAAAAGCTTCAATTCGATATTTTTCAACAAATCATTACTCGAAAACGTTACTACCAATCGAAATGACGTCTGAGATAAAGTTATAAAGATATAGACGGTAAAAAAATCAAGTAATATTGAGTAAAAAAATAAATAAAAAAAAAGTGTTTAAAACTTGAATTTTAAAAAAATGACCTGTGGAGATTCCCTTTTCAATCTTTTTTAAATATTTTTATTTAAAAAGCTGATAGAAAGTGCTATCTTCTGTGATAGTTTCAAGTTAGACACTTCGAAATTTGTTGATTCATAGAACAACAACTTTTGATAAAATTTTTGAACTTTTTGTCAATAATTTCAAGACCAACAATTGAAATAGCCTTAACTCCATTTTGTAAACAAACCTTGTAAGGCCATTTTCTCGCGAACAGATGTCCGCAAAGGTAAACCAACATAATGAACCGGTAGCGGAAATTCTCCTCTACCCGATTGTGGTTTAAGTTTGCGAATGAAGGTTTCGGTTCGCGAGAAAATGGCCTTACAAGGTTTGTTTACAAAATGGAGTTAAGGCCATTTCAATTGTTGGTCTTGATTTATCAAGATTGGTAGATTGGAGTTTAAAGTTATTGATTCACATTGAAAAGGACCTATCAGATTTTGATTTGAGAAATGAGCTTACAAAGTTTTGTTTACAAAGCTGATAGACCTTTTTCGATTGTTGGTCGAGAGTAGTTCTTCTGATTTCCTTCACAGAAAAATGAAATGAAAAAAAAAGCAATGGCATTAAAATGAACCCAGTCGTCACTTTAACCTTATTCGGCTATTTGCTAGCATTGTTTCAATAAAACCCAACTAATTTCTTTCCCTTCCTGCAGATATTCGCCATATCCCATGCAGTCGGCTGCCGCCGCCCACGCAGCGAATGCAGCCGCTGCGAACGCATCGAATCAGCTTACTACCGCCGCCGTAAATGCACAGGCTGCTGCCGCGGCCGCCGCCAGTCAACAGCACCAGCATCAACATCAGCAGCATCAGCATCAACATCAGCATGCTCAATCGATGACGGGCCACACGGGCCAACCGACGGCGACCGGTGCACCGCAACAGGGCAACCCACAAGCACCTCATCAGCTTATGCCAGCCCATCAGCTAGCCGCCGCCACCGCCGGCAATCCCTACCAAGGTTACAGCTTAGCCAACGTCGACATGTCCAGCTTCCAGAACGTGGATTGGGGTTCGATGTACGGCATGGGAATGTATGTATAATTTTCCACTTTCCCTCCTTCTTCTTATTAGTATGTTCTTAGTGCTTTCTCACCGCGAGCAACTTAAAAAAGCGACTATACCTATTTTAAAACCAATAACGCGGTTCATGTATGTTTATTTTCCAATATGTGTGAGTGTGGGGGCAAGAATAACACTTGGCAAAAGTGATACAAAGCTCAGACTTAGATATCTTATAACACACATCCTAGATTCACCCCGACAATTACGCGCCTGCCATCGGCTCGCGTGATATGTGTAACAGTAACCCACATTCAGTTCATTTTAACGCTTAGTCTAACGTTTGTTTGTAAACAGTAGTAATGTGTTTTTTAGCGAGACGGAAAATCTCGGGAATGTCGGAGACTATGTATGTAAACGGTGAAAACAATACTCCAACACTAAGCTTCCAAATCAAAGCAGTGAGATACATGATTTTAAAACCTAGGTTTCGTATGGTAGCAATAATTTAGTATCCTACTTGGAACGAACTATTTCTCTGTATACAAAGTGCTCTTGTCCATTCCAAATCATTACTTAAAAGATCTATTAGTAGGTACATTTGTTCTTAGCAGCATACCGCAAGTCGATTGTTTCATCTTCCCACTATCTTACATAGTTCGATCTTGTTGATCTACATTATGGTACAGCAGCAACGTCAGAGAGTACAGTAGAAGAGTAATGTAATATGCAATTCGATGCAAGCAAGTAAAACACACCTTGGTAAATGATAGCTCTCTTATGGGGATGTAACACGATTGCGGGTGCGGTGTGCGTGTTCTATTAGTGGATGGGAAACATGATGAATAGCTCACACTATTATTATAGCAAATCATTAAACCGCGCGCGCGCACATAAACGCGAGAGAGAGAGAGAGAGATTAATCCCAAGCACGCTCGTTCGCGCATTACGATAGAGTTTTTGATTCGAGGCGACAGCCGGTGCATGGCTGTTTTAACACCTAATTAATTCGTGTACGTTTTGTAGTTATTATTCGTTAAGTTATAGATCTCGTTTCCTCTAAATGCTCTGTTTTTAATGCCCTATATAGTAAAATACTTTCATAGTAGAGTTGTACACGGTAAACAGACTATATTCATTGCGTCCATTATTTTATCCTCTATCTATCTTCCCTGTTCCGTAATTGTTTTGCATCCATCATCGAACCATCGAATGCGCATTTAAAATAAAAAAAATATTTTTACCTGAACTGAACGCGTAAAATGATCGGTTTTGAATTTTCTCACCTTAAACAAAAAGCGAGCATCTAATTATCTCAGTATTGTCCGTTTAGCATGTAGTGATGATAATTTGTAATCAAAAAACACCGAAAACCGAACAATAAGCGAAGGGTCCACTTCTTGCGTACCTATCTAGTTTTCGGGTTTAGCTTATATACGACGCAACCCTTGTGTGATGGCAGACTGTGTATTTATGTTTCTGTGTTCGATTATTAAGTGTAAATTATTAATTACGTTTTTATGTGCCTGCATTTTTTTTTATCTTCTTCATCGATTGCGTCATTATATTTTAAAGTGATCATTTTGAGTTGGATTGAGACTGCGCTGGTAGCTAGTAGCTGGGACAGGTCCGTTATTTAGCTTTAGGTGTCGTAAGCGTTTGTGGATTGTGGAAGTGTATAGTGGGTCTTAGGGAACATGGTTAGTTGTATTGTTGGAATTTATTTTGGGATTCTTTCTCCGTCCGTCGGTTTAGGTTTTATCCCGGAACTAGACAAAAATTGTTATCTGTTTGTATTTAGAGGGGACGATGTCCTAACCCCAATTGTAATAGCACTTTAATCTGGTTTGGTTAGAACTGATCCATAGGCAATATTGAGGTTAGGAAATCGACCGTAGAACCTAGTTTGGTTGACATTTAAGGTGCAATTAAAAACATTAGTTAGCAGAGCCAGCATCTTGAAAATTTGTTCGTAGCCTGTAGTTCTTTCTGACAACATGAATTGACAGTCAACCTCAGAGATCTCAGCAAAATTCTTGTTTGATTGCTAAACCTCGGCCTTTTGTTTACTGAGTCCCAGCCAAATAAAATCGGCTGCACGGATCTCGGCAACTCCTATAAATTAAGTGTTCACGAATGTGTCCAGATCCTCACGAATGCTTCATGAATTGTCAAATGTGCAATTTCCCATGCTTCAAAAATCAAGTTTCTATGGAGCTGAGCTTATGTCATCTAGAAGTCAGGACTCCAGTCCAGGCATCTCTAGTCCGAGATTTTTACTTCAATTGTATTGTGTTCTAGAGGCCGCCTATAGACCAACTTTGTGCAAAAAAATGCCGCTGCTTTCCAAGATATTTTTTGAAAGATTATTTGCTTGACCTACCAAAAGACGTTAGATGGTCTCTTATATCAAGATGCTAATGAGTTCTTTGTTTAGGAAATTCTGGAAAAGAGACGTTTGAATCTTTGTTTACAAAAGCAGATAGTGTTCCTCAAACCTTTTTCAAGAAGACTACTTATAAGCCATTGCATAGATCAGTGGCGTCGCCCTAACCCAATCTACCTGTGCACCATCTATCAAAACGTTAACAAAACGTTAAGATCAGCAAAATTGGTTATCCCATCGCATGAGTAGCAATGGAACGAAACAAACTTTGATTGTGTTTTTCTCGGTTTGCTGATTTTTGATTTGTCTTGAGCGGCATTAAACAGCTGGAAAATCACAATGCGTAAAACATATCTAACCTAAATCTGAAGGTCAATCCAAAATTGGACAAATTTTGAAGACTTCGAAGGCAAAACCAAATTCAAGATCCAGGAACAATTCTGTCTTAGTAATTCCTCATTTAAGGACACTATCCATTTTGCATACAATTTGTTTTACCACTTCGCAATTTCTCGGGCACACATCTGGCGATCTACTTGATGGACAACGTTCAAAATGAATCCACATCTCTGCTGCAGAGAAGTAAACATTTAATTTAATTTTCACTTCTGTATGTCTTCTGGATGGCGAGATCAGTGCCACCGAAAACGCGAAGTGGAGGGATTTCATGAACCTTCAGTGATCTGTTCGACTCAATCGCATTCGGTTTGATGCTTAATTTGAAAGTATCACAAACTGGGAAAATTTTAAATTTGCTGGTATGCATGAATTAAATAATAAACCGGGAAATTTTTAAGATTTGTATCCTCCGCAAGTGTAGTTTTAGCCCTCAACTCAGACTCTATTAAGCTAGCAATTAACTAGCATTTTCCTAAGAAAAGTGAAGGCTGACACACGAAGATGACAAGACCCCCCTGACCACCGAACTCAGGTTGTCCTGGCAAGACTCAGAACAGACCATACCAGAGTCTCGCATAACTTTTCTGGGAGCGGCCCGTTCCGGAAATGTTGTGAGCTCTGCCGCACCAACTGTTCAGTGGAACACATAATCTGCCACTGTACTCAATACGAAGGCTCACGAGTGCTGTACGGCATACCGGGCAGCATTAAGGACGCACTGAGTAACGATCCGACTAGAATCACAGCATTAAGAGACTTCCTCCGCGAGGCCGGCCTCTTCGACCAAATATGAAACCTGCCAAAATCCCAACCACCGCAATACAAATGGACTTTCTCTTATCACCCAACATCTCAAACCAAAGCTAGATCCTCAGCAACTTAACAACCAAAACTCCGAAAAAAGACAGCACATTGACAGCCTCAGTATTTAACTAGAGGAGGCCTCTTACAGACCTCCTAACATGATAGAAAAGGAAAAAAAAAAAACTTTGTAACTATATGAGGTCCCTTCTGAACCCACACTTTCTTTTCAGAGACGAACCAGCCAACGGCTGAAAGTCTCTATAATAAAGAAATCAATCAATCAATCAAGATTTGTATCGGGAAAAACCGTGAATTTCAAAATGAATATTCCCTGGCCACCCTGTATACTGTTGATCAAGCATTACATGTCAATATAGGACTGATATGATGCAAAAAGGGGGAATAGCGGCCCGTAATAATGCTACTTATGACATTCCATAATAAACACTTCTTATGCCAACTTAAGGTCGATATTTTTCGCTGTTTATCTACTGCGAGCGGTGCATTGAGCTGTCTGATGACTGCTACCCGCTGTGGTAAGAAATTAATGAGAATCGTCTTTGAGGATTTCTTTAGGCATAGGATTGGCTCATTCGCGACTTGCCCGGGGATGAGATTTGAACTCGTGATTTTGACTTAAGAGGTATAGATGTTAACCAATACGCCGGGGTCGTTCCTCCAGTTTCGGCTTGTGTAAATGCTGCAGAGACCAACTCACTATAAGGACTACCCAACAAAAATTCTAGCTGATTAAAAGTGGATTAAGCTTCTTTTAAGCTGTTTAAGCATAGTTTTGGCATTGTAAGCTAATGTGTTTGATGTTTGTTGGATGCGGCTCAAACTGTCTATAATGAACTGCAGTCAACTCTCCATCTCTAGATATTGAAGGGACCATCGAGATATGGAGAAATCGTGCTATAGAAGACTAGACCGTTTGAAAAAGTGGTCACACATAGAGATATGGAACATCGAGGTATGGAGAGTATCAGTGTTGGGAAAATATCAAAAAATCATATCTCACCAATGCCCAAGATCACGCTTATTTTTCGTAGACAAAAATCAACAAGCAAATAACTGCGGTTGATTTTGCTAGCTGTGATATTGCAGGTCGGAATATCAAGCTAACAAAACTCACCAGCTGCAAACTGTGGTGAGATTGAGTTTCATGATTTTTGCTTTACACCCGAACCCAACCGAAACTTCCATAACGGCTGGCAGCAGTCACTTCGTGTCTGCCATCGGTGAAGAGTAAAAAGAGATAGCAAACTATTGTTTTCTCTTTATAAGAAAACGATGTGCAACGGAATCATTTTTGTGTCGAGTCAACTCTCAGCTTGATTTTAAAACGTTGTTAATAGTCTCGCAATATCAAAGGAGCTTGTAAATTCAATATCAAGCATGATATTTTGTTCCAATACCACGCGTGATATTGAGAGCGCATGA